AAAAAAAAAAAAAAAAAAAAAAAGAAACAGCAACAAAAATATGACAAAATACTCTTGAACAGTGGGTAGATTTGCCCTATCAGGTCAGGTCGAATGTGTAGTGTAGATTTGGTGCTGGAGCAGCTATGAATAAAGAAAGCGAATCTTGGCATACCTGAGGCTGCATTGTAGATCAGAATGGAAAGGTAGATTTTTTTTGGTAAAGATGATGAGACAAGTGGATGGGCAAAATGTCTCCCTGGTTACTTCTTTATTACATACACATTCTAGATTTATTAAAAACATGGATGTGGAGAGGAACTGAGTATAACATGGAAAGTGTCTCTATGACCTCAGTGTAGAGAACTTAAGCAGGCTGTAACCAGTGCTAGCCATACAGGGAAGGCTCATTACTCCACATTTAACTAAGTGGAGTAGCTTCGCTCACCCAAAGATAACCAACCTGAAAGTTTGCAGAAAACCCAAAACATTGTAGAATATTCAGCACACAAGGGAATATAGTGACTAGGAAAAAACAGAAAGGTCACTAAGTGCTGTACAAAAGGAGACGACTTAAGTGGTCAATAGGCATAATCATCTCAGTAGTTAATGTCACACCAAGATACCATGTCTGGCCAGGCGGTGGTGGTGCACACCTTTAATCCCAGCATTTGGGAGGTAGAGGCAGGTGGATCTCTGTGAGTTCGAGGCCGTCCTGAGCTACCGAGTGAGTTCCAGGAAAGGCACAAAGCTACACAGAGAAACTCTGTCTTGAAAAACCAAAAAAAAAGAAAGAAAGAAAAGAAAAAGAAACCATGTCTCATGTACTAGGCATGTACTTGGTACAAACAGGTTAGAATCTAATCAAGCTTACAGTGTACATACACCAGTAAGACAGCAATGATATCCCTAATAAGACATTGTATCAGGAGATGTTCAACAAAAGTATATCCATAACTAATAGAACAGCTATACTTGGGTCATTTGTTATAAAAGATGTCAGCTGCAAGGTTATCACCATTAGTCAATAATGATAATAATTTGATGTCATTTTGTAGCCTAGGCTGGCCTTGAGCCCACAGTTCTCTCAGCTCAGTCCCAACTGCTAGGATTACAGGCATGAGCCCTAATGCCTGTCACAAGTATTTTTAAAGATCTATGCCAGTTACTGCCTAGAGTTCTCAACAGTTTTAACATTTTCTCTCTCTTTTTTTTTTTTTTTTTTAAAGAAAAGGTGGATTTTTTGTTGATCTCTTCGTAAGAGTGTCCAATCAAGTTGCAGTCAACATGTACAAGCAGCTGGGTTATAGTGTCTACAGGACAGTCATCGAGTACTACTCAGCCAGCAACGGGGAGCCTGACGAGGATGCCTATGGTAAGCAAGCTCCATGCCATGGCAGTAACTTTCCAAGAGAAAGTCAAAATAGTTATTTCCCTCACGGGCCTAAATACTCATTTTAATAAATCCAAAAGAATCACGTTTATGAACTTAGTAATAGTTAACCACTGGTTGGTTAGTCTAAATTAATTTATATAAATGATCATTTTGTGGTAAAGAACGTTTCTATTGGTTGACTCGGAGGTGGGGTTTGGTTAGTACCTGCATACTTGCAGTTGGGAGTCTCCTAAGTACATACCACTTAGGTAGGATTGCAAGGAGGGCACAAAACCTGATGGGAACCTAACCCATACACTCCAGTTGATTCTAAAAGTTCGGTATTGGTTGCTTACATTAACCTTTGCTTCCTAACAGATATGAGGAAAGCACTTTCCAGAGACACCGAGAAGAAATCCATCATACCGTTACCTCATCCTGTGAGGCCTGAGGACATTGAATAACCATAGGCAGTGGTTCTTAGGCAGGCGTTCCAGACAAGTTTGTGGACATAATTATTTTCATAGGATGATCTTGGAGCTCTATTAGGAGGAAACTGATCATTTAGGTCTTAAAGACTTTATGAAAATACAGGCTATAAACTTCAAATCTCATCGTTCCAATGAGCAATAGCATACATGTTCAAACTGTTTGCCATAGTAAAATTCAATCAAGGCAGCTAAGTCAGAAGGACACGTTCCTCTCTCATGGTTGACAGTATGCAACAAACAGTACATGCCAAGGAAAGACTCCCTCCATCCTCCTAACTCCAGTGCCTGAGAACCACTGCTGCACATATATAAATATATATATATATTTTATTTTGTATTGAACTGTTAATTGAAGCTTTAAAAGCATATATGAAATGTATAAATCTGAGATGTATAGTAAAATACATTGTTGACTATGAATGTTTTCTGAAGTTTGTTGTCTTTTAATCATGATTATGGAGGGTTATTGTTTAGGATATGGTGCCTCTCTCTGTTTTGACTTTTATATAAAACATTTTTTAATGCACATCTGAAATCATCCCTGTCTGGCATACTTAAGCTTCCTTCTTACTGTGTGAAAGTCTTCCCAAATAACACCTTTCCTACTGCTGGTCCCAGATCGTTTCTGCTAACACTGGTCAATCCTGTCTTTGAATGTGAGTCTATAAAGGGGAAACAATCTAACTCCTAAAAGCCATGTAATTAGATCACAGGCATGTATTGAATTATTCCCGCAGTAAAGAACAACAACAACAACAAAAAAAAACCCAAAACCAAATACCCCATGTGAAATGACCATTAAAATGCATGTGTGTTAGCATTCTTTTTTCTTTGAGATAAGGTCTTGTTTCTGTTGCCCAGGCTGGCCTTGAACTTGCCTCCAGTAATCTTCCATCTTGCCCTCAAGTGGTAGCACCTGATTTAAAAGCATTTTCTTTAGAAAGGTCTTATTTTGGGATATTAAAGTTGGGGAGAATGAATTTGTTCTCCTGAGAGGAATAGCACTGCCTTAAGCCTTTCATACTGGCGCACATTTGTTACCTGTGAACTTGAAGAGCAAAGTCACTAATTTTTGTCTTAATGTATAAACAACATAAGCAGAACAGCTCTAGGAAGACTTCGTTATGGAACTAGCATTCTGATCTGCTTTCACCTCCATCTTGAATCTGCACCACTCAAAGGATAGTCAATGACAGATTTCCTTCCTGACTAGCAGACTTCAACTGACACCTGAGCCTGGTGCTGGTCTGGTGGCTGGCTAGAAACATCTATCGTTTGTTTACTCAGTAGTACTGTTTTCTTCTAAAAATTATCTTGTTTTCAAGACCAAATTTAGTAATAATACTAAGTTGCTTTTTTAATAATAATCAGTTGTTTACTAATGGTTCTTATAGGTAAAAACCAGTTCTAGGAATTGGGTAGTGAGCAACACAAGAAAATATGGCTGTGAAGTACAGATAAAAAACAGTGCCTCCAAGACCAGGCAAATACTACGTCACAATGTGAGCTGCACCAACAAGTATGTTCCTGTGCTCTTTCAGCGTCCTCACTGAGCACACAGTCACTATGGGTCCTTTGGACATCTGCTGTTTATGACAACTGTTAAGCATCAGTTAGGAGCTCCCATGTTCTACAGCATGCTGGAAGATGCATTTTCTCAGGCAGACGGAAGTGTAGATTCATGAAGCCTGGGACACTGGCAGCAGTGCTGTGGTGAGTCATGCCCCAGCAGCATATGGAAGGCTCCAAGCACTCTCCAGAGACTCCATTAACAAAGACTAACAGAGACCTAGACTTCCCAAACTTATCTGAACACAGGACGCTGTGCCTGAGAGCATCTGCATAGACCAGGGTTTTCTAAACAAGCTACCACTTTTAGAAAGTGTAAGAGCAAAGCCGAAGCCAAACTAAAATGTTCCTGGCAAATAACATGGTCCAAAAACACAGTCATTACAAATTACCTCAAGATATTCAGAGGTTAAACTAGCCCAAGTCCATTTAATTCTGTAAGAAGTGGACACAATGCTAAAAAAGAAAAGAGGGTGGGAACAAGATTGACATCAGCACTTTCCTTTCATAATGGAATCACCAAAATGAGGTACCATGACACTACCCCGTGGTTGAGGAAACTGAAAGCAGACTAAGCTATCTATACAGCCACCACACAGAGGTGCCAAGACTGAACTCGGGGTGTGTGGTTTTAAAGACACAGAAGACAGTGACAGGCTTCACAGGAACATACCATAGAGACAGACCCGTGACTTCACAGTTTTCCTACAGAATGAACTGTGAACACTTTTAAGAGGCAAGGTACCTGCGCCTGGCATGGTGGCTCCAGTACTTAGGAGGCAGGCAGATCTGAGTTCAAGGCTAGCCTAGTCTACAGAGTGAGCTCCAGGACAGCCAAGACTATATACAGAGAAACCCTGTCTTGAAGAACAAAAACAAAACAAAAAAGTCTGCAGTTGCACCTAGAATAGGTGCTTAGCAAATTAATTTCATGTAATAGACAATATGGGCAAATAGTAGGAAAGTTAAGACTCAGGTAACAAAATTATTAGAAAAATTCCTTTACTTGCAATTTCCCATCCACATTTAACCCAAGAGTGTTTTAAAAAATAATTTGAAAGGTAGCTATCAAAGATGCCAAACAACTCCTTACTGGGTAAATATACAAAAACGTTCAGAAGTCAAAGTTCTAAACTATTAATTTATATAAAAAAAAATTACAACATTTTAAAAGATGAGGATTCACTCTCATCAATGTCCTTATCTGGATCCTGTTCGGCAGCTTCTTTTTCTTGTTGCTGTTTCTTCCAAAGCTTGGCCATTGCCAGAAGCTTGAGGTTAGGCTGGTTGGCAGCATCCTCTGGAAAGATGTAATCATAGTATTCTTCCCACCCGGCATCAGACTGTAAAATTAAATACATCAATTATAAGGTGAGCAGACAGCTGGAACAGGCTGTACTCAGAAGGGAGAGGGAAGAATTTGTCTGGGAAACCTGGAGTTCAAACCCAACTATGTTCACTGAACAAAGCAACATCAAATCCTGCTGAAGAAGGAAAAGGCTGGGTCCAAATGAGCGACTGAACATCTGCTCAAACCATGTTGTAGCTCACTGAAAATGACAGCCCAAGTGGAAGAGAGCTAAACTTGTAGGCACAGTTTTTCCCCAGGCAATCAAGACACTCAGCACCTCAACTCCACCCTGCAGTCATGTTTAAGGCTAAGGTTCTGAGTTTTATGGGCTAGAGAGATGGCTCAGCTGTTAAGAGCATTTGTTGCTCTTGCAGAGGACCCAGATTAGGTTCCCAGCACCCACATGGTAGCTCACAAACACCTGTAACTCCAGTTCCAGGGGATCCAATGCTGCCTTCTGACCTCCAAGGGCACCAGGCATGCACATGGTGCAATATACACACGCAGGCAAACCACTCTTAAAATAATCTTAAATTTGAGTCTTACTCAATTCTCAGTAGCAGAGAACACATGTGTGTATATTGGGACTCCTAGCTCTCATCTTTTCATTTCTAATTGATCATAGATTTAACTTGTAAATACTGTCCTGAAATTCAGGCTCTCCTCTCATCTCCCACCTTCTCCCCAGTTGCTAGACTTATGAAAACCATCCAATAGATGATCATCTTCAACCCAAGTCCCTCAAGTCCACAGGTATGAGATGCCAACAATCTAGCTAGTCATGTAAAAAAGTCTTCAATGGTTCCCAAACTTGCTCTACCCTACAAAGCCTTCTCAGGATTGGCTCTTCTCTAAAGGGTGAAGGGATGCCCCTGCTTCCCATGCTTACTGACTTTCCACTTGCCACTCTACAAATACCACACTTCATGTAACTCCTAGACTGCACCTTCACTAAGTAAGGTGTTTTTGCCAACCCCCACCCCCACCCCATTTTCCACTCCTGGCTGTGTTCCTAGTAGCCAGACTACAAATGGTCCTTACCCAGGCATCTACTTCTGCTTTTAAGAATGTTCAAATCCTCCTTCAAAGCACACATTTCAAAGTCACATGCATTTCTACTCCTTTGACATGAGATGAATAAGCTCTAGTGCTCAGCCCTTACCCCATCGTCGGCCTGGACCTTTCTTCTCTTCTTGACCTTTTCTGGCATGAGTTTGTCTACTCTTTCCTTGTCTGATAGTGTTCCAAATTCATCTTCAAAACCTCGCCAGGATTCCAGCAACATGAGTCTCTCTTCTTTTTCTTCACAGTTTCTCATGGTTTTATTAGCCTCTTCATAAATCTGTCTGCATTTAGTCACACTTCCTTCTTTCCCCGAGGATAACTCAAACTGAGCAAAACTGATCCATACCTTTAAAAAATTAACAGAACCAAATTAACCATATCACCCTGAAGATAGTAACATAATGGTTGTAAACCTAATTTCTCCAGTTCATGACATCTGATGATGGATCACTGACCGCATTCTAGACTAATACAGTGAACATATGTGAACATACATGGAACTTCACTGTCAGTACCAAAGCACTCTCCTGCTTTCAAGTGTCTGACAGTTTTAAAATCTTGAAACCTGTGATTCCAAGAGATTCATGTGCAGCATAAACAATGACCTGGTATGAACTTAATATTCTTAAGTCTTCTGAGAATGACAGAGTCTAAGAACAAGAAAGTCATTTAAAATAATTTGTCTAAAAAAACCAAAACTGCTGCACAAAATAAAATGAAAGATCATTGACAAAGTCAGGATACCTTGACATGCTGTGTTCTCTGAAGCAACTGTCGGTAAAGGTTTCGTGTTCTTTCCGTTTCTTCCTGCTCAATCTCAAAATCAATATATGATTTCCAAAGTACCTAAGAAAAACAACAGGTCAATCTTAGCACTAAGAAGCCACATTGTAGCATGAATCTTAAAAGTTCTTATTAATAAAATCAAACCTGAGGCCAGTTATTTGGGTCAATGCTGGTAGATCAGAGAGACAGAACAAGCCACAGCTATCTCACCTCGCCGGATCCTCAGCTGGTCTTGTCTCCTCAGACTGGAGGCCTCTGAGTCCTCATCCGGAATGGGTCTCAGCTGAATTAGTGCTCAAAAGCCTGAATGCTTAACCAGCCAAAATCTTAACCAGCCAAAAACTTCTAGTTTCTGGTCCTCATGCCTTAATATATCTTTCTGCTTTCTACCACCACTCTCTGGGATTAAAGGCTGGCTTTCTGGGATTAAAGGCATGTGTCACCATGCTTGGCTTTTTCCAATGTGGCCTTGAACTCACAGAGATCCAGAGGGATTTCTATCTCTGGAATGCTAGGATTAAAGGTGTGAGTGCCACCATTTTCT